CAGGGTATTTCAGACTGCAGTTTCCTGCCTACACAATGTGGTACAGGTTGAACTTCTCTAGTCCGACACTTTCTGGTCTGGCAGCATTTATGGTCCAGCATATTTTTAGCCCGATATCCACTTACCATAGTTGTGGCCAAGTTTCCTGCAATCCCATAAAGTTTGTTTACAGCCACCAGTCCTGGCTCTCAGTGTTATTTAGCTCGAACAAATCCCCATCTGCATTTTTCTTTCCCTCCAGAAATTGCCGCCCATCAACTCCCTCTCCTAACTCCAAAAGGAGTTCTTATAAGAGTCAGTCTTTCAAACTTGACAAAAGGCTTTCCCCTTATGGTTAAGCTCATAACAGACATTGCTCAGAACCAGAATCCTGCCAGCCCCCCATTAATAATCCAGACTTTTAAAAAAATACAGCTTGGGTCTCTGATCCTGAGACACTCGTAAACAGATAACCAGTGGACAATGGCTCATTCCTCATGGCCATAGCATCAAAAGACTGGTTTTTTGCATAATCAAAGGTGGGTGATTTGGATCCAACCTCATAGTCCCAGGAAACCCACATAACCTTGTCCCAAAAGGCCACTCTTGTCTGTTCAATATAGTCCTCTGAAGTTTAAAACACTTCCCAGGGTTCATATTACACCATCCCACCTGGAAAGATAACATATAATTACGGCACTACCAAATTCATGGTCAATTTTGGTCAATTTAATGATCAAAACATTTTAAAAATATTAAATATTTAAATCTGAAATTTCACAGTATTGTAACAGTAGGGGGTCCGCCCCCCCCCCAAAATGGTGGGTGGGCCCCTGCAATGTTAATGGCGGGAGGTTACTGCTACCTTTCCTTCTGCACAGGTGCTGGCCATGGTGCTACCTTTAGAGCTAGACAGAGCTGCTGCCAGTATTGCCACCTTTCCTTCTGTGCTGCTCCTTGCAGAGCCAGGCCCTCAGTTAGCAGCCACCATTCTCTGGTCACCCAGCACTGCAGGCAGCAATGAAAAAGGAAGGGTGGCAATACCATCTCATGCCCGATGTACAATACTGTCCCACAATATCACCTAACCTTTGAATTAATACAAGACTCCAAAGATACTTGTTCCTGCTGCTCCTAGATAGAGGACCAACCCCTAGAACTATGTGCGCTACCCCTGCTCCAAGCACTGGCTCTGCAGCTGCCATTGGCTGGGAATCACCACTATGGGAGTTCCAGGCAGCAACCTTAGATAAGTGCCCCCTGCAACCCACCAGCATCGCAGCCCCACTAGGCTGGGAGGGGGGTGGAATGGGGGGCGGGGCAAAGGGGACAGAGGGTGGTCGCAGCCCCACTAGGCTGGGAGGGGGGTGGAATGGGGGGCGGGGCAAAGGGGACAGAGCGTGCTATTAGAGAGTTGCCATGGCAACCCTACAGCCCTACCCAGCCCTGGCTGTGGGCTCCGCGGGCGCTGCCCAGCAGGTGGCGCTGCATCCTTGCAAGGCCC